TTTTCTGGTAATCCTGGTGTGATGTTCTCAGGCGATGCGCAGAAGGGATCCAAATGGCTGCTCGCCAAGCTTGCGTGTGTACAGTGGGGAAAAATCTCAGTGCTTCTCCTGCAGTGAGTAGTGAACTGTGCCTACAGACTGGGAAACATCAGGGACCTCCCAGGCAGCCAGGTCTTTGGGGGCTGCATCAAAGATGCCCCAACTGATACAGACCCCACTCCTGCAGTTCAGCAAGTGTCCCTTGCTACTTGGGAGCTTTCCCTTTACACGCGGCCTGTTGACTGCTTGAGTGAGGTACAGAATTAAAGAGAGAGGGCTAGAAATTGGGGACCCAGAAGCACAGGTCTTCCAGTGGCTAAACCTGGGGAGGCCTAGACCCTCTCCCTCCACCCTTCTCCATCCCTCTCCCCTCCTCCACCTCTTCCTCCTCTTCTTCTTCCACCTCCTCCTCTTCCTTTTCTTCTATTTCCACTTTTTCCTCTTCTGTCTCCTCCTTCCCTTCCCCCACTATTTTTTTTCTCCTCCACTTCTTCCTTTTCCACCTCTACTTCTTCCTCCTCCTCCACCTCTTCCTCCTCCTCCTCTTCTTCCTCCTCCTCTTTGGTGACTTGCCCCCTCACATCCACGGGGGCTTTTCCCTCCCCTCTTCCCCCACTCATGTGTTTGGAACAAATGAATACATGCTGTAATTCTGCAACACCTATCCAGAAATCATAATTAAACAAAGATTCAACACGAGTCTTCATCAGGAAGTAGTTAAAAATTTAACTTGATTTGCAGAAAGACATAACAAACGCATTCAGTTCCAGTTATTTTGAAAAGAGGCAACGTTCAAAAATCAGTTTGGATTATATAATCTCATAGAGAAAAAAATACATTTTCTCCCTCACGTGAAGAATCTAGCCAACAGTAAATATATGTATACATGTAAACAGATGTATATGTGGATACAGTATATATGGAAAAGAGAACAGGAAAGGCGAAGTATTGTGGGTGAACCTAACATGGGAAATCTGGCCCTGCTCCTCAGCGGACATATGGTGGTGTGGTTGGGGGAGAGATTGCTCCCTTCGAATCCTATGACAGGTGGCCCTGAAGGTGTAGGAGTGGGAGAAAGACCCTGAGGGCATGACAGCAGGAGAACTGACCCCTCCCCTTGCTCCTCAGACTACCCAGGCCAGTGCTGGAGAGCTCACCCTGGTGCTTAGGACAGCGGAGAGCTGACTGTCTGACCAACCCTGCAACTACCCATGCCCAGAACCATGGGCTGTGAGTTGAGCCACCCCAACATCTACCCATCTGTGATAGCACACGAAGTGACCGGTCCTTCAGGATCTCCATGCCATAGGACAACAGCAGGATAACCAAGAGGAGTTCCAGGGAGGTCCCAGCATTGACAGTGTAGTAGAAACCGGAGGCCTAGAACCAGACCAATGACTCTCTGCAGTGAACATGTCTAAGTAAAGATACATGGATAAAAGAATTTACTGCATGGCTCACTGTGTAACACTACAGCTTCAATGATGAGATTTCCTTTTTCTGTTTTTCTCTTAATTTTTTTTTTTTGCAAGGGGAGACTTTGCAAGGCAGAAGGCAGATACAAAGGGACAGAGAAATGAATGGGATGGAGACACATGATGTGAAAGTCACAAAGAATAAATAAAAAGAAAGGAAAAGGAAAAGAAAATAAGTATTATGGGACGAGGAAGGACTGGATGCAGGCCATGGATGGACATGAGTAATGAAAGAGGATATAAGTTAATTATTTTTCTACTTCTAAGCTGGGCATGGAATTTTCATTTTTGGAGGTGGATAAGTTCATAAAAATACATTCAACAGTGAAAGCGTAAAACCCAATGAGATGCTCCACGGATTCAGCTCTGCGTGGCTACGCTCCTGTAAAAAAGCCTGTTGAGTTTACAGTCCTTGGGTCTGGGTTATTCTGGTGTGTGATTTTGAGTTGTCTAGTCTTTGGGTTTGGGTTATGTTGGTGTGTGATTTTTTTTTAAACTTACAATCTTTTGACTTATAAAGTTCAAAATAAATTAAGTGTGGAAAATTCCTTTACACTGTGTGAATATATGTCGCTGTGATTGGTTTAATAAAGTGGTTGACTGGCCAATAGCTGAAGGGGATAAGGTTAGGTGGAAGAACCAGACTAAGGACAGGCACATACATGGTACACAGACATACCCACAGGCAAAACACCCTTGCACATAATAAAAATAAAATAAAATAAAAGAATCTCTTTTCCTACATTGGTTCTCCTAAATTCTTATCATAAGCCCATACATTGAACCACCCATAAACTTTTGGGCCACAAACTTTTTAAAATTCCTCTCCTCCCTTCTTCTTACACAGAGACCTAGTCATTCTGGGGTTGGTGTTCATTCTTATGTTTAACTTCACCTCCTTTCCCTCTACTTCCAATGTCTGTCTTGGTTCTGATTTCGGTTAATTTCCATTGTCTTATAATCAGTAACCTTTAAACCCCACTCTGGTATTTTCACAATATTGTTCAAAAACTTCCCCGCTCTCTCTATGCAATAATTCAGACCATCTTTTTTTATTTGAGGCATCTTCAGGTGCATCGAGTCCATCTTCCTGGACTCACTGCCCATGAGGCTCACCATCTTCTACTGAGTCAGTTTTTAATAGACTTCCCTAGAGATCATGTTACCTAATTTCCACAAAACGCTATGAGCAGAGACAGCCGAGCCGTATCATGCTTCATGCGAGGAAAGTAGGCTGGAGAGCAAAGAGAGGGCTTGCTTGGAAGGCCAAGACCCACTGGCTAGACAGGAGCAGCATGGATGCAGAGCCCAGGACACTGGCTGTGGAGCTTGGTGGAAAACCTTTTTTTACTTAAATTTTTATTTTGGGGGATTTCATACCAGAGTATTGTATTTAAATCATTTTTGATCCCTCTCTCTCCCTTACACTGATTCCTATATTTCCCCCAACTATCTCTCCCATCCATCACCTTATCTTTATTATTATTGTTATAGTTGTATAATAAATATAGACATATGCCTATACAAATATAGCCTGCTGGGTCCATTTACTGCTACTAGAATGTAGATGTGTTTATGACTAACTGCTTGGGACTGAATAAGCAGTCAGAGGGTTTCTCCCTGGAGAATACTGATTCTCCCTCTCAACAACCATTATTGGCTGTATCTCTTCACCAGGAGCTTTCTTAAAACACTGTGGCTGGGACAACTGGGTTCCTCAGGGCTTCATAATCCATTACTCCCTTTGATTTAGCTGTGAAGTCAAACCATAATTAGCCTTCTGTGGGACAATGGTCTTGTACTCTGTAAAGATTTGTCACTTGTACTGGTTAAATAACATGCTGATTGGCCAATAGCCAGGCAGGAAGTATAGGCGGGGCAACCAGAACAGGAGAATTCTGGGAAGAGGAAAGGTTCAGTCTGCAGTCAGTCGTCACCCAGACACAGAGGACACAAGATGAGAATGACTCACTGATAAAAGGTACCAAACCACGTGGCTAACACAGACAAGAATTACAGGCTAATTTAAGATGTAAGAAGTTGTATAATGTCACAGAGGGACAATCTAAGGTTAATTTTGGACATTTAAAATACTGGCTCTCTAAGAATGATTCAATTTGAAATAAAATTCCTATACTTGGTTTAAATACAGAACACGGCAGAGTAGATGGCTCAGCTGTTAGGACGTATTATGCTTTTGCAGAGAATCCAAGTTCAGTTCCCGGCACCTACCCGGACTGCTCAGGTCCACTCAGAGCCATCTGTAACAATTACTGCAGGGAACCCTGACCACCACTTCTGGTTTCCTTGGGGACCTGCACTCAAGCACGCCCTCATCTGCATAACTCAAAATTTAAAAAATACAAATACAGGACCCTTTATTAAGTGAAGCAGTAGAGGAGCAATTTTTAAAATGAAGGATGTTATTTAAACTCAGGAGAGCTTTTTTATTTTCTATGCCTTTTGTCAAAAGTCATTCCTGAATTTACGATCAGTGTTTTTAAACTTTTCCAACCACAAAAAAGGCTTCATTCTGTAATTCAGAGGACTTTTAAAGGCAAAACAAAGTTTTGTGTGTGTGTGTGTGTGTGTGTGTGTGCTCACGCACACGTGCCTGCGTGTGAAGGAGACGACCTGACAGCTTTGTCTCACGCTTTCTCCTTCACCTTAGCTAGCCAAGACCTTTCTTGGCAGATTGTTTTCAGTCTCCTGAGTTTTAAGATTCTTTTGGTTTTTGACTCTCCTGCAGCTTCACTCTGACAGCAAGGACCATCCATCCTCTTTGATCTGCCATGGGGAAAAGGGAGGGAGACGGGAACCAGTCCATGGGAGGAGAGGGCATTGCTGTCTGCTTCACCCTTAGACTGCATCACAAGATCATTTGCAGTCTTCCTTTCTCTCTCTCTCTCTCTCTCTCTCTCTCTCTCTCTCTCTCTCCCTCCCTCCCTCCCTCCCTCCCTCCCTCCTTCCCTCCCTCTCTCTTTTCACAAGAACATGCAAACCTATTTTCAGTTGGTGTTGCTTCACGGAATTACGTTTCCCCAGGGAAGGGTGTTCTAGTCTATCAACTCCTCTTGTCTTGAGACTTAACTTCCCACATAGCTGTTTCCCGCCCAGTGATTCATCTGATAGCCCTTCTTACGGGTTTCTTTGAAAAACAGATTCAAACACTTGGGTTAAAGTTAGAAAGCAGAAGGCAATCCATGATGCTTTTTAAAAGGATGCTGATTCTTCACCATGGAAGCTGATTGCAATGACTTACTGGTGAGTTGAACTGTAAAGAGGACCTAGAGAGGAAACTGGGCATGGGAACAATACATCAGGAATGAGGAATGATTGACGTAGCCAGTGTTTGATGAACCTAAGTCACTATACAATCCAGCAGAGAAACAATGTGCACCCCGTGATTCTATTTGCTTTCTAGTTTTTCTGTTTAGAAAGCTGTGTCTGGTGTTGTTGCCGCAGGGAGGATAAGTCAAAACTCACCGTCATCCTTGTCTGCGAGGATGGTCACCTTGGCTCCCGGAAACTTGTCACCGATCCTCCCACCCATGGGCATGCTCAGAAGGACCTGGAAGGTCTCCTCCTCCTCGTACAAGGAGTCATCGATTACGACCACACGGCACGTTTTCTCACGTTCGCCTTTGTCAAAGCGGACTACGCTGCTGTGGTCCTCGGGCCTGGAGATGTAGTCTGAGTAAGACAGCACTGAGGTCCGCACGGTGCTGGTCGCGGTCCCTAGGGTCCCGAGAGAACCAGGAGACGTCAGGGCTGAACCACTGTTTCCAAACGTGTTGTTTTCAGATTCAGTACTTATCGGTTGCGACTGTATACTGTTAACACCCCAGAACTGCATGGGCAACTACAGTATTCTAGCATCACGGGTCTCCTGCAGAATGTCCGCACGCACAATGTCCGCACGCACGCCTAATATTGGCCCGCCAGTGTTTCCTCCTGCCTTCCTTCCTACAGGCTTTCAAATCAACATAACAGGGAAGGTAATACCTCCCACTATTCAAACGTTCCCCATAGAGGCCAAGGCCATGTGCTTTCTGTGTTTGCCTAGTCTTTCCATGCATCTCCTGGGTTTTAGGCTTTGGGGAAGCGAGCCGTTCAGAAGTCAACACACTGGTTCTGCCACCTTGGTCCCAAGACTGAGACCGAATCTTTTTTTATTTGCATATCTAATACAGTTTCCCCTTCCTCCTCTCCTCCGGGTCCCTCCCTGCCATCTCCCTTCTATCCCCTTCTCTACCACTCCTCCATCTCCATTCACAAGAAGTAAGGCCTCCCATAGGAGTCAACAAAGTATGGCATTTCATGTCAAGGCAGGATCAAGCTCCTCCCTCTTGCATAAAGAAAAAAACAGGACTTTGAAAATTGTTTGCAATGATTATTAACTAGTTTTAAATTTTCAAATACTTATTTATGATTCTTTAAAGTTGAGAACATTTCTAAAACTGAGTTTAATGCTTATGGAAGCCTTGGAGCACTTCAAGAAGATAGATATGGCTTTCCATCACTGCTCTAACTCCACGAGCCTCTCCAGAATTCACCAAACACGTTGGATTAGTTATCTTGGTCATTTTAGCACTAATTATGTCAAAAAACCATATGCTTAGGGAAATCTATTGATTTCAAAGGGAAATTTGCATATATCCGTTACATGGTTCCTTAATCATTAATATATATTTTCTTATATACTCTACAAGGCATCTTTAGGAAAAGTTTGGATCCATTTCCAGTTGATAGTGACCTGTCTATAATTCATTGATCTATTTTCAACTGATAATGATTTGTCTATAACTCATTATCTAAATGGTCTTCAGTTTAATAAAGTTCTATAATCATGTATAAAAGTCATAAAAGTATCAGTTTTGGGTTTTGATTCAATCATGCATCTTTTTTTTTTCCTGTTTATTATCTTGTGGACCCTGATACTAGACCAGACCCCCACCTCTAAATAACTCTCTTTGACTTGGAAGGTTTGAACAGGCCTCGGTTCCCCACCATCTTAAATTGGTCTAAGAGACCAAAACCTGAGGGAAGAAGCAGCAGCCTCCTGCCAGATGGACACAAAGAAGCCCCTAGAAATACAATACCAAAGCTCACTTCTTAACATCTTGTTCTCCAGTGTCTACAAAAAAACCTTGTAACAAAGTTCACCCTCTGAGGCTCCACCAGAAGAAGAGGCTGACGGGCACACTGCGGGCTGCTTCACTTTGCTGGGCAATTGCCTCACCTTGCTGCGTGTAGCAGATCACCATCAGCTCCTGGCTGACATCGCCGCTCCTCCTGATGGGAATGAACAGCTCGCCCACATCCTCTTCCACAGAGTATTCTGGCTGGGGAATGAACACGGTTGATTCTAAAGAGAACACACAGTCACTATAACAATTTTTTTTAGGTCAGAATTTCCCTATCTCAGAAACTTAAAATTTTTCTGCTAGATGCTTTTTTAAGAAGAACAGTGCCAGAGGAAGGGCGGGAGAGGGGAAAGACCACCTACATGAAGCTCAGCATAGCTTCTCTCTCCAGCCATCTCTATTTTCTCAAAAAATACCACTGCACGGTTCTTCTCAATCCCCTTCTTTCCTTCTGTTACAGCACGACATTTTCCCTGGTGTAACCCAAGAGGTGGAAATGCCTCCTTTGCAGACCCCAGGTCCATACGGGTGAACCTGACTCCCAAGCATGAGCGTTAGGCAGGACTGGAACTCAGATCCTGTGACATCTGTCTACTCTATTATTATTCTTATCCAAAGGGCTTCTTTTTGGGTGGTTCGTGATTAAAAACGTTAACAGTATACTTGTTCAACTGTATCCAGACAATAGTTCCTTTTGAGTTCCCGAGTGCCTTATTACCTCTATAATGCTTTTTCTTCCCTAGCGGGATAACAATTACTTGTGACATAAAAACTATGTTTATATAACATTATAAGTCTCAATGATTCATTTTAACATAGATGAAAGGTACATTAAGTAATACAAGTAGCGTAATTAAGTTGTTAAAAATAGATCTATTGTGTAAAACTTTGGTGATGATTTAGTTCAATAGTTTGACATTATAAACCCCAAACAGATTGTGACATTCCTCTGGAAGCCATTTCCCGGATAGCCTTAACAGCCACACAGAACATACTTCCTGATCGTCTCTGAAACAGTAAGCACAATTCTTCTGGGGCTATGAAAGACTCTAGAATAATCTACACAGTTAAGATGTTCAGTTCTCCCTGCCCTGTGGCTGAGGGCATGAAGGATGAGCTCCTTTGAAGATGTTTCCCTCATGCTGAGGATGCTGGTGGGTCAGCCAAAGGGGAAGAGCTCACAGGAAGGAATTGCGCTTGTAGGGCAAGAACCAGAAATGGTTCTATGGCTAAGAGCGTGCTGCTCTTGCAGAGAGACCAGAGCTCAGTTCCTAACACTTACATATGGTGGTTCACACCATCCTGTAACTCTATTCCAGGAGATCTGACACCTTGCCTCCGTGAGCACCTCATGCATGCACATATGCAAAGATATAGATACACATAAGTGATTTTTTTTTAAAAAAAAAAATAAGAGCCAATGAGTTCTGGAGTTCAGTTTTCCAGTAACTCTCAGATATCCAGATGCATGTGCCACCATCTCCGGGCCTAGAGGTGATGCTGGCACTGGCCCTCACTGCCTGGGGGCACTTTATATGTCTGGGCTTTAGATCCTGCCCCAACCTTGGAAGACAACTGTAACATGAAATGCTTTTGAAATGACTAATCTTACCAGTATCATCGGTCTTCTTCCGAGACTCTCATTAATACATTCACTTTTAGAATGACCCCATTGCAGAGCTAATTATTCACTTATAAAACATTGATTTAATGCCAGGCGGTGGTGGTGCACGCCTTTAATCTCAGTACTTGGGAGGCAGAGACGCAGACCGCCATTCCATATCTCCAGGTGAATGCACTAGGAGGCATGGACCACGCGGGGACGCTGCACTCTGATGCATTCTATGAATGTATTTCAGCTGCCGCATGATAAACATGATGTAGGAGGAGCTGGCATGAAGCCCTTGGTTTTAAGACTTAGCAACCATCCAGGCAGGAAAAAGATCATAAACACCGAGGACCAGGAGATAAAAAGAGTTGGCACTTGTGGATGTGGTTGGGATGGGGATGCATTGCCCTCGCCCACCCTGCCCTAGAGGCGATCCAAGCGACAACTTGAGAAACATCCTCGTTGGTTTATTTTTAAGCTAAATTTTCACAGTGGTAAGGATTACAGCGATAGGAGCCGGAGAGATGGCTCAGGGATTAAGAGCATTGACTGCTCTTCCAGAAGACCTGGGTTCGATTCCCAGCACCCACATGGCAGCTCACAACTGTCTGTAACTCCAGCATACAGTAATGAGTGTGAGTAACACCCTCACAGAGACATAGATACAGGCAAAACTCCAATAAAATAAAAATAAATAAGAATTACAGCTATAATTATCAAGTAAGATTTTGCCAAATACAAAATTTTCGCATAGTGTCCTGATTTTAGTGCAAAACCGTATAAAGTGCCAAGCAACATTAAACTATCCAGTGAATCTCAGGGACCCCTTTCTATGAACTCATGGGAATTCACTGGGGGGCGGGGGAGGGATCACAGACTTTAAGTCTTTAGGCCATAGTCTCTGTGGCCTTTCTTTGAAACATTACCCAAAGCTTGTTACGTGCTAATGTTTGCGTATCTCTGTATTCAGACATTGAATGTGATGGTGCAGGAGATGGGCTATGAGAGGTGTGGATATAGGCAAGGTCATGAGTGTGGAGTCCCCGCCAGGGATTAGTGTTCTTATAAAAACAATGGGAGAGTTCTCTCTCCATCAACAGACAAGGAATTATGGGTGGCACACCCGGGAGACAAATGTCTGTAAGCCCGGAGGATCCTCAGCAGGACCCGAGTATACTAACCCAAGCTTTATCTGCTGGTTCTGTATTAGCATCACTGGAGAGAGAGTCAGGGTTGCGAACACACTAAGCGAGCCCGCTACTCCTAACCCTGCACCTTGAGCTCAAGTTTTTAATCCCCCACGACTGTGAGGAACAGATGAATATTATTATCTGTTATATTAAAGTCACCCAATCTGTGATATTTTGTTACAAAGGCCAGGGCTGATTAAACCAGGGTTAATCAGACAGCATTCATTCCACACTGCAAATATGTCCTGGCCGGTTTTGTTTTCACGTATGTTCTGAAGGAAGGCGCATGTGTGGGGTTTTAATTAAGTAGCCCCCAAAGGATTTAAACCTCGAGGACCTAAGGTCTGGTTTCTTCTGTACCCCGTGACCTATGCACATTGGATTACACAAGTCAGGACTTCTCCCCTGTGCTTACGGGCTTGAACCGTGAATAGAGAAGAAAGCCGTGTGCCTGGACAATGGCCTCAGACCTGGAATTTACTCCACAGTTGATCTGACAGAGGGTAAATATGCCCATATCAAGTTCAGATCTTCTGTTGACCCAACTTCCCACATAAATATGTAACCATGGAAGAAACCATAAAAGGATCGGAAAGACAATTGAACGATTTCTCCGGTTGCCGTTCAGGTTAACATGATCTTCCAGCCTCGCTTCACGTCTACAGCAGAAGTGTACACATAGGCTGCCTCGAGGAAGCACAGACGCTAAAGAGTGCCATTGTTGCATCAGCCTTTAAATGCAGTTAGCTAACACCGACAGAGCCTCAATGCTTGCCAAGTCCCATTCTAAACATGCCACATGTATCGACTGGCTTTATTTTTGTAATCACCTTTGTGGTAAGAACTTCGGTAATCTGCATTTTAGCTCTAAGGAGCCAACACACACACACACACACATGCATGTACACACACACACAGGTGGGGAGGCACTAGCACTGCATCTGAACTCCCCCAAGCCATCTCAGAGCCCTTGTTCCATGGTTGCCCAGGGTTCTCCCCAAAGGAAGCTACGCGGGGTGAGAAAGACAAGGCTAGCACACGAGGAAAGGAAAAGCTCACCGATGTCAAGAGGTATTCAGCGTGGCTGAGGTGGAGAAAGGGCAAGGAGAGGGGAGGAAGGTTAAAAGGAAGCTGAAAGCAAGCACCTAAATGACTCCTTAAAAGAGCTGAGAACTTCCTCCACAGCCTGCGTTAGTCTATGTATATAACTGCATACATACAGTATTCTGAAGGGAGGAGGCATGACTAGCATCCACTAGCACAGACAGAGAGCATACGAAGACATTTATCACAGAAGTCCCCACGTTACACCCCAGTCACACAACAGGCCGGAACTGTCACAGGGCCTATGAAGGAAGAACTGAGGGATAAGTTCTGGGATTGGTAGACTCTCAAGAAGCAAAGGGAAGCCTGTAGGAGAAAAGGCAATGGCAGGGTCATGCTCGCAACACCAGCCACGGCCACCTCCATGTGGGAGGATTATAATGACTGAAAAATGAACACTCTTTGCTTCTTGCTAGTTTCAGATTTGTAGAGGCAAGAAAGCAAGAAGTCTAAGGTCTCTTAGGCCCCTCACACCTCTGCTCTTTCCCACTCTCAGGAGCGTACTGAATTTTCTCTCTGGCAGTAAACAGGAGCGGGTAGATGTGAAAATTCTTCATTTTGAGGGATAAACCTGGATAGAGTGTTTTATCCTTTATCCACCAGCATGACAACACCATAATGAGTACTGTTTTGGAACTCTGGATTTTACTTTTAAGTTTTGACGATGCTGCAACTGGGAAAAAAACAAACAAACAAACAAACAAAAAAAAGCGACTTCAATTCTTAGAGACAACGTTGGAGCTACAGCGCGAATGTTCATCCTGTCCTCTTTCTCTCCATTACACTGAACAGATGAAGGAAATCCTAAAAACACGACAGAACAAAAGATCTCCTAAAACCCCGTCACAATAGACGAAGAGGAAGAGAACTTGGGGCGTGGATGAAAGCAATGAGTGTTCCCCGCCTTGTAGGAATCTGGGAGGTTTGAAGACAACTCAGAAGGCCTTCTGGCACATCTCCAGGCCATGGCCAGCAAGCGTGCTCGGTGCAGAAGTGTCTGAATGCTGCCATTGATGTCTGAACTTGGACATTTCTTTAACACTTTGTTATTTATTTATTCTTCCAAAATGAACCAAGTCAATGCAGACCATTTTTAACTGGAGTTTAGGAAAGAAGCAGATGAAATCAGTGAGCCTGACCCACATCAGAGGGTACCACATGCATGCAGGAGCCCATGGGGCCCGGAAGTGGGCATCCGATCCCCTGGAGCTGGAGTTACAGATGGTTGTGAGCCATCATGTGGGTGCTGGAAATTGAACCCAGGTCCTCCAAATGAGCAGGAAGGTACTATTAATTGCTGAGCCATCTCCCCGACAGGCTTATTTTTTTTTTATATATAATATTAGGCAGCAACTCAATTTGATTCCACCAAAAACATTTATAGAAAAGGAATAGCTGACCTACTTACTTATGATTAAATATAATGAGGGAAATATCAGAATGACTTGATTGGTAAAAGCTTATAAGCACTTCAGGTGTATCAAGGCAAATCATTACATAAAAATGAGCTTTCTATATTTTTCTCTATGTATTTCTATTTGACTATTTGAGGTTGTGGTCTCCCAATAAATATACATAAAGATTCATTTTATTCTGAGTGGAGAGATCAAGAAGTGAAAAGACAAATAGGATCTATTTTTTTTATTAAAGGTTAGTTCTTATGTATTTTCCTTTAACAGAAACAAAAGGGTTTACTACCAGGTAACGTCCATATGTCTCTAAGAGTAAGAAACACTGGTATTATTTGAGATACAAGATTTAATAGACAGAAAGCTAAGAATTGTTGTCCTGGAAACCTCTCAAAACTGGGTTAAAGCAGGAGCATAGCTCAGCGCTATTCAAAACACCGGCTGCTCTTACAGAGAACCTGGGTTCAGTTCTCAGCACCCACATGGTGACTCACAACCATCTTTAACTCAAGTTCCATCACATCTGATGCCCTCTTTCTGGCTTCCAGGGTACTTCATGAATATAAGGCACATACATGCATGCAGGCGAAACTCAGACATATAAAATAACTAAATAAATCTCTAAAAGAATTAAAATGAGTTAACTGTTCCTTCTATGGCTCATATTATACATTGTAGCCTGCAGCTCTCTATACTATTAGCTGACGGAGTGTGGTCACAAGGCTGTAGCACTCACTGCATATCTGCATTGTCTCACCTTGGCTCCAGCACTTAGCAGAATTCCTGGCATCCACAGCTGATGCTCAGTAAACCTTTGACTGCACAGGCGCACAATACAAGGACTAAAGCGCTCTTGCTTTCTGGTTTGTTTTTGTTTTGTTTACAACACTTGGGTTTATTCTCTGATGCTAATAACTTCCAGGTTTTATACAGAAAGCGAAACCAGCAAGAAGTTAGGAATTGGCTGATGTAATTTATCGATACGTTCAATAAGCACATGAATCTCTTAGTCTAGGAGGCTGCTCTATTTTCTCAGAAGAATGTTCTAGCCATTCTCCACCCTCCCCCACAGCAAATACTTACTTACTTGATAACTGAATAACACTGAATTTTCTTTTCCGTCCTACATTTCCACACAGCAAAATCTGTCTACTCCAGACACAAAGATCCACTGGGTGACTCAACTGCCTCTGGATAGCCCCTTCCCAAGGGGCAGGGCAGCTTGGAGATTTACTCTTTTTGTGTTCATGGCCATCCCCAAATTTTCAGGGGAGTTCTGGAGCACCCTCCCTGGTATCTGCCACTCAAGACTGTTGCAGCGTAGATGCCATAGGCACACAAGGACTGGACCTCATCTTGAGGTGGAGGTGGAAGGTCGGTACCTATTCCAGTGATGCAGGGGGCTGCAGATGCGGGCAGGCAAGGGAGGAGTTAGACATTATCCATGCTAGCCCTGAGCATGGCTTCCCATTAAATAAATAAGCAACACAGGGTGTGTGTTTGCAGATGAATATAGATGCTAATATATGGAGTGAAATACAAAATACTTTAAAATCCTTCCCTAAATCACAACTATTCAATTAAAAACGATAAATGAGAATAGAGACTATATTAGCATAGTTATAACTATGTGAGGTCCAGGGTTTATGTATGTACATACATGCTTTCACATGTGCGTGTTTCCCTTGTTTTAGAATCCCATTGCTCAGACATGTCACTGGTAGAGAGAAATATCTTCCCTTATGCTAAGGAATGCAGAAATAAGTTTTAAGTCTTATCCCTTAACGTAAACGAAAGCAATTTTACTAAATAGCAAATAAAATCCCCAAAGCTAGCTTCCAGCTTAAACTAACAGAGCAGCTTAAATGTATTAACGTTGTCATGGGATTGTTTAAAAGGGAAAAGCGTTACTATCGAAGTATATCCCCAAAGCTGTAGACTAAAAGAAAGTTTAATTATTCATCCACAGATAATTTATGCAATTAATGTTAAATATTCCTTAATGAAAATTACAAACATAGGGGAACTTCAGATTTGACTGAAGGCAGAGGAATTTGGTAAGCTCAGGATGCAGGAAGCCCCCAGTTCTTTAATCATGCTGAGTCTTTTAACACAGGGATTTGCACGAGACCCATTTTATGAACTCAGCAGATTGCATCTTTGTAGAGCATTTAGGAATTTTCTGACTGACAAAATACTGCAGGCTGGCAGTTAGAAAGAAAGTCACGTCTGGCTTCTGACAGCATTTCAACTTCAGAAGTCTCGATGAGGTCTGTGTAAATGCCAAGCCTCAAGAAGCCATTCACTCCGTGCCCCCCTCCCCCGCCCCAGCTCAAATACACATGGAGACAAACCAGGATTGTATGCAAGGGGCAGGAGAAGGTCAACTTACAAGAACATTAATGCTCATTTTCACAATGTCAGCCAAGTGCACACATTGACAAGGAAAGTAGCCGAAGAGAAATTCAGAGCTATGGCTCATCGCAGAAAGGGGGGCGGTTGGGAGCAAAGGGGTGGGTACTGCCCCACGAAGGTGAAAATAATAAAATGCAATACAGGGAACAAATTCATCCCAGAGTGGCCTGACTCCCAAACCCTTTGCTCAAAAGGTATTCTAAGACATCTGAAAGACTTCAAAGCTGATGAACTGGGGCCACAAAAACTGGAGGAACCAACCACACTGGTTCTTAGAATGACAATCATGGAGAGGACCTGGCATTGGTGCACTGGTTGCAGTTAATGTACCTGAGATATCGCTTCCCTTCATTATGGTTACATTTCCCCCTTTCCATCAATATACCTGATAATTCTAAAGAATCTGGAAAATTCTCTGCCTAGAAAGTCCACATAGTGACTTTCAACTCCTCTACAGGGAAAGTGCTTTGTCCTAAACGCCCATCAGCAATAGCGTAAGGGAGAGATGATCATGCTCACCGTCGCCTGGGTCGATGATCTCCACAGTAGTCACCATGGGGAACTCCAGGACCGCCAGCACGGGCTCAGAGAGAACCACCTGGAAGGTCTCCGAGTGCTCATGTTCCTCGTCGCTCAAGATCCGCACTCTCCACGAGGCCCTGGTCTGGCCGGGGTTGAACTGCACTTGTTTCTGGGCCTTGCCCTTGAAGTCACTGTCTTTTCGTGCAGTCCCATCCCTTGTGCTGATGCCTGCAGAGACAATATAAATCATTCGGTTTAGAGTAAATGGAACGATTCCCTCTTTTTCTTTGTTTCATTGCTGGGCATCCGGCTCTGCCTTAATTGCTGCATCTCTATCAAAGACTAAAACGGAACAAATTGCCTTAGAGTGCTTATACAACATTCCTTTGTCCCCGTGGTGACGGTGGAATACGCCTTTAATCCCAGCACCAGGGAGGCAGAGGCAGGTGGATCTCTGTGAGTTCGAGGCCAGCCTGGTCCACAGAGCTAGTTCCAGGACAGCCAAGGGTACACAGAGAAACCCTGTCTTGAAACACCAAACATCAAAACAAGAAAAAAAGAAAATGACTTTGGATATATCTGAATACACCACAGACTGCCAATCTTAACATGAAGATGGAAATAAAGGTTTTGTGAAAAGCCTTCATCTTCTAGTTTTCCGAAAAACACCAGACAGGTAAGTGTTTCACATATGCATCCGCTTCGGTAGCAGACAGCATAGCGTACTTAATGGCAAAGGATAAAGGGCCCCAAACAGGAGTGCCAGCTCTCTGTGTCTGGCTGAGTTCCCCACTACAACCATCACAGCACCTGCTAGTCGACCGCTGCCTGCTTGGCTGGGGTCCCTTTCATCAGTAAGGAAACTCTTTCCAGAAGATGCAGAGGACAGTTGAAGCCGGAAAGGAGGTTCCTACCCTACAGGGCATCACCTCCAGTTTCAGCCACGTTTACCACAGGACAGTGGAGTCATTCACCCAATGAGACACAGGTTGCAATACCGAATCCCCACTGCGGCTACTGAAAACACCCACCAGCGTTCTCTTCGGTTATTAAATGAAGCTACTTCTGTGTCATTTCTCACGCGGGAAAAAAACGGCGTGGGGCGGAATGAAGCAATGCACTCTTGCTAGTGCGGGGCTGGAACGAGGCGTTCTGGGGCTGAGAAGGTGGACTTTCAATCCTCTCGGCCACACAGCGATAGGATGCAAACCAATTATTACCCTAACCGCTCTCAGTTCCTGAGACACTCTGGAGAAGTGGTTATCAGTGTGGACCCTGGGACCTGACTATTTGGGAGTATCACATTTTCTCTGCTCACTTGTGAAGTGGAAGATATAATGGTATTTTTCTCGTGGGGTTAGGATCTGGAGGGTACTGGGGACTGACTAGCCCTGGCCTGGATAAAGACTCAGATTGCAGTAACAACCACTTCCATTTTGTAGGCCCATTGACGAATGCAACACCAGTCAGGACTCGAGGGCTGGGGAACTGGTGAATGAAGGCTTAGAAGGGAAAGAGAGATGGATAGAGCACTCGGTGGGCTTAAGGATGTTCTTGCCATTAATAGATGTTTACTAACTGGTACAACTGAGATCCCTGAGATGCAAAGGCTATCATCAAATACGAACGCGTGTTTAGTTCAGCAGTGAATCGTAAGGAGTTGTTACATACCGCAGAGATCCCAGCATGTCCAATTACTGCTAAGAAATGGGGGCAGCTTAGATGACTGTGCAAAGGATGGCATATCAAGAAATTGTGGCTCACAGGCACAATGGAATTTCATTCGGCCATCAAGAAAAACAGAATCATGACAGTTACAGAATAATGTAACGGACGAATGGAGAATCTTTATGGTAAGTGAAACACGCAAGAAGCAGAAAGACAAGCACATGGGTTTTCTTTAATGAGAAATCTAGGGGTGCGTGTAAGCAGTGAAAGTATAAAGGAGACTAAGAGAGCAGGAAAGAGATCTTAAGGGGAATGGAAGAGGGAGGGTGAGGGAATTCATGCCACATGAAAGCAGGAATGGGGGTCGGAAGAGGACAGTGGCAGAAGATGAGGAAGCTCAAAGCCTGATGGTGTGTGTGTATGAAAATGCCGTAGCAAAGCCCATTAGCTTATACGTCAACCTTCAGAATTAATTTTAAGAAGCTTGTTACGGCTTAAAGATGAGGTGTCCTGCTCAGCTGATGCCCTGAATGTGTGGGCCACATCTGCTGGCATTATCTCAAAGGTTGTATGTATGGCCTGGCTGGCAGAAGCAGGTCCCTAGGGTCAAGTCTTTGAAGGTTGTATTTGTTCCTGGGCCTGGTCTAGCTCTTTCTGTTTTCTGGTCAACCAAGATGTGAACAGCTCCATCTCCTGCTTCTGCTGGCACAGTTGGGGTCACTCCTGCCTCCGTCCATTCACTGCCCCTGTTGGATTGTTGGGCAATCCTTCCTTCCCTTAAGTAGCTTTGGCCAGGAATTTCATCACAGGCATGCAAACATGATTTAACAAGAGGTTACAAGATAAAGAGTCATCTTTGGGAAAATGCATTTATATGTTCTGTATAAATCTTGATTTACACACTGTACTCAAGTGATATTCTATCTGCAGCTACCATGTATTCCAGTGTGTATGTAAGTAAGTCCATATGTGGAAGTGGAAATTTTATGGGACCAGCATCCTCATTGTAGACTTCTATAAATCTGCTTTGCATTACACTTGAACTCTAGTCCAGGTCCTGGCATAATTTCAGGGTCATCTTCAATGATGGCAGACGTGGACACACAGGGAGACGTGTACACACAGGGAGATGCGGATACACAGGATCTTTCTAATATTTTTCCACTCCAGTCTGCTAAGTGTCTGTGTGAGGCGAGCCAAGCAGAGCTAGGGAGCCTTTGTAGAATTAATGGGATAGTCATAGGAACCATAGTTGGTTCAAACAAATAACTTAGGAAAAATGCATTAGCATTCCACTGAAGAATAATAATTTTTTAAAAGAGGAGAGAAAAAAAATAGACTTGAAAGTCTCTAAAACACCTCTCAATGGTTAACTTTCTCAGTGTTACCTGTAGGATATCTGTGAACTCAAATTACACAAACTTGCCAAAAGCGTGGGCAGAATGCAAATAGACAGGAACATTGTTGATAAGGACCAAGGGGCTCCGCTTTCCCCCGTTTTCAGTGCAATTTATTCACTGTGTTTTCAGGCACAAAGCACAGGTGAAACCTACTTCTCGCTGACAGTAAACATCTGCTGGGGGTGTGCAGAGGGGAGCCCTGGCAGAGAGACTGGGTCCCTAAGGAGAGCGGAACGAACATCTACTGCGCTCTATGAGAATGTAAAGAGGGGTCTTGCAGAAGTCCAGCACACAAGGGGCCAGGAAGTGCTGCCCAGTTGAAGGTGGACAGGCCTCTTTTCAAAAGTCAAGAAAATATATATATATATATAACCCTATTTTTAAAGGAAAGAATAATTAATATCCAGGGTCCAAACACACCAGGGGAGAACTGTGTGTTTAGCGGAGGGACCCATCTATAGATAGGGACCTAATGTTTAAGGGGTGACAGGCCAGCACAAATTCAAAATAATAATTTCAGAGACAGCCCTTTTATTTTTGCCAGTCCTTTTCTAGCTTCCTATTGTGACTAATAATTTCCCTCCTCAGCACTTACCCACTCTATTAAATGCATCATTCTCAAAGTGGTATCATCGCCCGGGGCGCAATGTCACTTCTCATCAATGCCCTCAGTATGCATAAACTGTACTTCTGCTTTACACATTTCCCTATTTTATCATTATAAGAAGTGAAATGTGGCCTTGAATCGGAGTTGAAGAAGGGTTTTATTCATTTGCTGTTGGCTCTTGGTTTAAGAAAATGACTAGGATATAACACGTAACATCTTCACGTGTAGTGGTCAGGGAGTGACTTCGGTGAGCCATAGGGCCCAACTCCCTAAAATAATTTTGCTTGTTTATTAAAGTAGCTGTCATATGTTTTGTTTGTTTGTTCACTTGTTAGGTTTTTGAGGCAGGGTTTCTCTAGGCTTTGGAACCTGTCCGGAACTAGCTCTTGTAGACCAGGCTGACCTTGAACTTACAGAGATCTGCCTGCCTCTGCCTCCCGAGTGCTGGGATTAAAGGTGTGCGCCACCACTGCCTGTCTGTCATATGTATTTTTACAGTTCTGTTTCAGATGAATTGTACCCTGTGTTATTCCTTGGAAACTACAGCTCCCAGACTTCTCCTGGATTACCGTCACCTGTGTGCGCGCTGGCCGCGCCCAGGTGAAGACCATTCCTCCCAGATAACCTTGCGCCCCCCGTTAAAAGCGAGCGTCCACGAGGTTTCGCTCTCTCTTGGCCCTTTTCCCCCCTACCCTTGTGTGTCGCACGTCCCACCCCTTACTGTGTTCCCCTCTCCCCATTAAAACGCACCCACGTGGGAGCAGCGTGTCTGTCTCTTCCTTTGCGTCCCGTCTATCCTGTGTTTGTCCACACACCCACGCCGCCCCGCCGCCGTTTTTACAGGAATAATACCCTGGGGATAAATTAGATTCTCATTATTTATTCTAACCTAGGAACATTTGATTTAATTTTTGAATTCATTGGTGATGACTTCCAATTTTGTGCATTTATTTTACACCACAGAACGGTCACGATCATGCACCTTGATGTATATCTGTTGATATCGCTTAGAAGTCAAATATCAACGTCTCACTAAAATTTAACCAAGATCAGTGATCTAAACTAGTGCTGCAGTTTTAGCACTAGAGAACAATTTCAAACACATATGAAGTGCAAATTAAACTTACTTATAAATGAAGTTTCTCCCAGGTACCCTCTGCGTTTAAGAACAACATCTAGAAACTTGGAATCTTCGTTGATCAAGTAGTATTCCTTTTCAAATGAGATCCAGGCCCAGTTCAATCGAAAATGCTGGTTGGTTAACTTGTTTCCACCTGGAAAATAAGAATGTAAACCTTACATTACTGCTTTCTTGAATGGATGGCCTGCCTTAACAGTCCACAAAGGAGAAAACTCTGAAAAGAATACTGCTGGATTTAATACACGGACTCCGGGACACTTGTGTGGAGGTAGAGCCGGCCTCTCAGTGACTGTCAGACATTCTCAGATATGGTCCCTCAGAAATTCCTCCTTCTTTCAGGATGGAAGTGTGGGAAGGGGAAAGGATCACGCAGTATTCTGAAGCCAAGGAAGTCATAAAACAGGGAGGGGTAGATCTGGGAACAGCAGGGGGATGAATGTGATGGAAATACCGTGTATGGGCTGTCAGTTAATAAAAAGATACTTTTAAAAACCCACTCACCACAAGGTGCCGCTGGTGAGCAAGCTTTTCTCTATAGAGGGTTGCAATGTCCTTACACATACAAAAACCTTCCCAAATACCTTTTTCTGGTTCACAGAGCAATTGGGTGGAAGGCTTTAATTATAACCACTTACAGAAAAACAAATATTCTTGCTCCACCCCCCTTTTCACCAGACTCCACTCCATTCCTGAAAGCAAACAGACAGCCTTTTTCATTGGCCTCCCCTCTCCTCCCACCTCCCCACCAAAACGGAGCTGGCAGCCTCTAGGGAGAAAGAGAACCTTGTGTGTGATCTCTCTAATGCGAGAGCTACTCTGTTGAGTAAATCAAAGAACTGCTTATCAGCTAATCACTCCACACCTATCCCTCAAGGTTTGTCTTTTGATCTGGGAGGTTTATAAACAAAGGCATCACTAATTCCTTTTAAGTCTTTCTGGAAAAGAGTAAGGGGACAAAGCCTAAATAACAAACACAGCTAAAGGGGTGGTTTGTACTCTGGGTTCCTCTCTTTTGAGTCCACACAAAGAGAGCTATGTAGAGAAAAATGGGGGGGGGGGAAGAAATGTCAAGACTGGTTGGCTGAGTGAAAATCTACCCGACGCAAAGCAACCAGGGGAGGAACATACTGCTTTCTCTTAACTTTTTATAAGTAAAAACCATGGTGACTTTGAGTTATCAACTCTCACACCTGACAACCTGAAAACCTCATGCAGCTGAGACTATGCAAGGAAATTGGTTCTCTTATTGTCTGACTTGGCACCACAGCCTCTCAGAAAGTCCCACAACGCAAGCCAGAGGCAAAGGGATGTTTTATCGCTCCTGTCAATCTTCCATGGGAATTTTGTCCCCAAAAAAGCCAAAACAGATTTGTAAGAAGCACTTGTTGTAATTATTTCCTTCGTCACCCCAGACCTGACAAAACTCAAGCTTTACTCCATTGTCCTACAGCAGACCACTGCAAAGCCGTTCAGTCACTGCACAGAAGATTCAGGGGCAGAGATGCAACTCTGGGAGTGCTTTGCCTGGCATTCACAAGGTCCTCAGTTCGATCCCCAGTACCGCCGAGTGGTTGCACCACCATGGAAATCAATAAATATGAAATCCTTACTGAAGCTCTTAAAACTGTGATGCAGAAGCGACAACATGTGCTTTGGCTGCAGCTACGTAAAATGCACCGTACACACAGGATTATTGCATGCTTAGAGCTGATGAGGGAGGTGCTGGACAATTCCGGTTTTTAGTCAATTTCTGGTTTGACTGTTGTTTGTTTGCTAGTTTGGATTTTGAGGCAGGGTCTCACTACACAGTGAGAGCACAGACTTCCGACTTGCAATACTCTTAACTCAGTCTCTTCAATACAGGTGAGCACACCCTCCATAATTACTTTCTAAATTAATTTTTTAAATATTTATTTTAACATTTTATGTGTATAGGTGTTTTGCTTGCAAGTATGCGTGTGTATCCTAAGCCTGCCTGGTGCTTGTGGAGGCCGGAAGAGGATATCAGATGCCCTGAAATTGGAGTAACAGGGGGTTAAGAGCCACCACGTGGGTGTCAGGGAGACAGCCATGATCTGTTGTCATGCCACAGGTCCAAAGGACGAGGGCCAGTTGTTCACATAACCATGTGATGGCTATCTCCTCATGCTCTGATCACGATGGTTATCTCAGGCACTTTGTCACAGCAGAGAGGACCTGATCTAACTGACTGCATAGTTTATGAACAGCCAGAAGAGAGTCTGTAGGTTCTGGTACGAAGAAAGGAGAAAGGGGCTGGAGAGATGGCTCAGCGGTTAAGAGCATTGCCTGCTCTTCCAAAGGTCCTGAGTTCAATTCCCAGCAACCACATGGTGTCTCACAACCATCTGTAATAAGGTCTGGTACCCTCTTCTGGCCTTCGGCATACACACAGATAGAATATTGTATACATAATAAATAATAAATAAATATAAAAAAAGAGAAAGGGATGGAATCACTAACTACCGGATGTTAGTAGCACCCCTCGTGTACACAGACAGGATATCACAGTGCGCCATCACTTGTATAGAAGAGAGGCGATCATATCCAACCCTTCGCTGTATTCTTTTTAAATGTACAAACATGGGGGTGGGGCTTGCATGATGCATGGGCTCCTTTCTAACACCCATCACTTTTCTCCTCCTCTTGGCAATGTCTATTTTTCCAAATTTGACAATATTTAGCCAGTCTTACAATTTGATTCTCTTTCCTGAAATAGTCTAAGAAGTGGCAACATCTTCTAAACACTACACACTGAAGACTATTGGGTGGTGGAGGGCTTTGATCACCCCTGAATGAATCAAGACACCCCAGCAAGCTGTAGCACTCGCTGGCCCCTTTGTTGGATTAGTTTTCCTACAAAATACTTTCGACAGCCTCATTTCCTAAATGTAGGTATTTTCTCTCTGATTGTTTCTGCCTCTGAGTCTGACCCCTGATCTAGAGAACAGTCACTTTGTTTTCATTATTGTTAGAGTAAAAAAAAAAAAAGTCACTAAATGGAGTAGAATTCTACTGCTTCGATTAAAGGAAATGCCTCATTTACTGGGTCATATGACACTCATGTAACGTCCACTACTGAATCCTTTCATTTAAAAATATTGTTTTTAAGGATACATCTAAATTGTCTTTCATTTTGGAACAGGTACCAAATTGCTGGTTTATCCACAGGTTCCCAGTCACATCTGGCTGAATAAATATTTTCATGGGTTCCCAACACTTTCATTGAAAGAAAACCAGAAACAGTACCCAGAGCTTTTGCTTTTTGCAAGGACGATGATATGGTCCAAATGAATTACACAGGGATTTAGAATTTAGTATAAAGCTGGGATTCTTCAGTGGATATTTAACTACAGAGCACCAAGTCACACCTGTGAAGTCCAATTCAAAACAATGAGCTGCCACCTGACTTCTCTGAACACATGAGCCATCCTGAGGTTTAGAACTTGCAGCACCTCAGTAGTCCCTTGTTGAAAGGAAGATGCCGGGACACAGAAGGACTAAACTCTGCTGACTTTAACTCCGTGTGTTAAGAATGTGATTGATCCTGTAGAACTGAACTGTGTTTTACAAACACAGTAGAAATCAACCTTGCTTCTTATATACCATATAAATGAATCTAACCTCCGTAGATGGGAATAATACATGTCAATGCTGTGAACTAAGGCTACATGACTGGATGTGGAATTGTCCATAAAATTAATCCATTTAAAAACCAGACAAATTTTATTTACATGATTGGCTGCTTTTTAAAAGCAGACCCCTGGTGTCAGATGCCCCAGGAGCTGGAAACAAATTAAGGCCCATGGCTTGTGTCATAAATCTCCACAACAGGTGCCTGACAGCTGATAACCACACTCCCCAATGCTTTGTCCCCAAGCCCTGACACCAGAGCCATTAAGGTTTTGATGAGAAGGCTTCCTTTGAACTTTTCCAGCTGGTCTTTAGGCTGCTACAATTTTCTTTTTCAGTTCAGACTCAATAGTGACTTTAGAATAACAAAGAATCGCAGATCTTCAGAGATCCCTCCCGGAAAAACCCTGGCTTTCCTGATTTCCCTTAAGACAAAGGGCACACTTAATAACCATCCCACAGTGTGCCACAGCCCTGACCTGTGCTGGTGAGGGAGGAGGCCTAACATTTAGCTTTGATGAGGAATCTGTCTTTAGACAAAAGTTAATTAGCAGAAAACTGTCCTTTTATGGTAAATTCCACTTGCCAAGAATAAGATTCAATCTAGAGACTTCCCTAGAAGTCAAATAGGCATCCACAATGAAACGAAAGCTAATCTGGATTTAACCTTTCAAAGCCAAAGATAGAGACAGATATTTAAGGGCTGGAAATGTAGGTCAATAGTAGGGTGTTCACCTAGAAATGGGTGTTTATATTGGAAAAGATTTGTGGCATCATTATTATCTGATTTATAGGCAAAATTGTGCCATTTTATTTTTAAGCAAATTTTAGAAAGTTTTTACTTTAAAAGCAAGCCAGCCGCCTTAATCACCATCAGGACTGGGTTGGTGAGATTCCAGTTATGCTTATGGGAGTTGGTGATTCCCGCTATGCTCACGTAAAGGATTCATTTCACTGTCGTGTCTGTGACAAGATGCATCTCTAACTTTGCACTGGCCTTAGCCTCTTCACAGGAAAGGCTGTCAGCTTGTAGAAACCAGATCCCTGACCCTTAAAGTCAGACTGATTTTACTGCTCTCTGAATACTACCTGATACAAAACATAAGCCAGCCTGGGTCTTTGGATTCCAGGAGTCAGTCGTCAACTATGGGGCATGGCGCATGCGCAAACGCAAACCATACACGCCAGAGATTGTCAAGTACTGCAGGTGCTGCCCTGAGGCTGAAGCTGCACGTACGTGGAGGAGGGATTACTTCATCCAGAGGGAATCCGAGACAACACGTGGAAGAGACAGTGGTTAAATGGTCCTTAAGTCAGGGTGCCATTTGAACATTCAGGGTGGTGGAGGGAAAGGTGCTTCTGGATGAGAAACCCAGGAACAAGAGGACTTAAGAGAACGCAGTTTTGTGGGTGCCTAGCGAATTTGCTACATCTTAGTTTTTACTCTTTTTGTTGTTGAAGTCACTGGAAATCGGAGAGAAG